TACCAGATTTATTTGCTGACAAGTTCTAAACATGACAGCAAAGCTGTATTTCAGATTTAAAAAAGTGATATTTTTTCCGTGGGCAGTACATGATGTGGAACAAGTTCACCCAAACTCTGCCCCCCCCCCTCCCCCAGTGGCCCCAGGGTAATTGCAGTCTAAGATCCTTGTTTTAGAGTGTACTTGCTAAGCTCTTAACCGTTGCACACAGAAAAAAGTGAGTTCGATCCAGCTGGTGTTGTGAAGATTTTGTTACCGATATGTCTCCGTCTTTCTGCCAAGATGTTGTGTCGCACACAGAAGGGTTGGTTTTGACAAGTTGGGCTAATGCAACCAACACCCTGAATAAAAGTATAGATTACTGACTTAATGAGGGCATAACACATCTTTTATTATTAACAAAATCTACCAGCATTAAAAAAACAAACACAACTTACATCGAGCCAATATTCGATTTTCCCTCGAAATACCTGTATAGTAAAATATTTGTAAACTCCCCCTGAAAATATGTTTCTTTTCTAGGTGCGTTGTTTAGGTGTCTAGGTGCCAAATAATTGGATCCTACCGCTTGACCGTTACGAGCTGATTACTGGTGGCTCCAGTGCACACTATATCACCTTGACTTCTGATTAGCTTAACAAAATTTGACCATACTGTCCATCAAGGCTTATCACAGTCCACGTGGTAACGAAATATACAACTCCGGAAAGCGTAGCATATTTCGGATCGGTTATTTTTGTAAACTGTATTAAACGATTCAGAATGTGTACCATAGAACCAGACATGCCTGGTGTAAGAGAATTTTATGAAGTAGTGCCAAAATGATAGCTCTTGCTCGTCCATGAAGGAAAAGTTTGGTGGCCTTCAAATGTCTCAAATGCAGCAAGTGTGTGGCACAACATCCTTGGAAGTTACCAAACTTTGGCGGTCATTCATTTGCTTATTTTATCCCTAACACCTTGCACCTCCCTCCCCCTCCCAACCCGTTCAATCTCAAACAGTAATATATCGACTTCTATTCATGATTGTGGGTGGTTGGCGGGTGCTCTGGTGTGGTTTGCTTCTTCTTTCCTATCAAACGTCTATCGTCCTCATCTCTCCTCCTCCTTCTATTTTGTGTTTGTTACTCTCTTGTAACACCTCTAATCTTCGACACTTATATGACCTTATTGTGTTGCAAGTGCCGTAAAACTCTTACTACTACTATTCATGATTCTTTCATCAAAAGCAAAGCAGGGGAAAAATAAACAGGCATAAAGATGTAACCAATAATGCCATACACCCAAATATTGATGAGCACTGGATTCCAACACTTCGCAACACAATATAATAAAGTAATGAGTGTACTTGCCATATTTTGCTACCTTAGAATTACGAAGTTCTCTCTGACATGTTTGGTCGTTTTGAGTTTCTAAGACCATGAGGTCAGAAACCAAGTGTTCTACCTGCTCTATCAAAATCGCAAAGTTATTCTAGTCGTTATCACGGTATTCAAAGATTCGCGTACATAATGTCTGGCCATGTTGTTTAACTCCACATTTTAAACAAAAAATATTTCAAAATCAGGTGCTGAGCAGAACTTTGTAATTCTAGGATATCAATTACTTAATTTCATTTTCTGTCTTTCACTTTCAGTGCTGGACTCCTGGGGCAGACCTGGCTCCGCGATAATGCAAGGAAATATTCAGTACTTTGGAGAATTCACAGGATGCCTGAGAATAGAAACGACTGAAGAAGACTTAGAAGGTGCTCAAATCGACGGGCAATACTGTCTACTGAATATTAAAGTGAGTTTAAGTCGAGATATATACAACTGTGGGCCAGTCCATGAAACGTGATACACGTGACGCCGAGATGGTGACCAACTGGAAAAAAATCTCAGCAGTTATAGAGCCATTTTTTACTTTTTTTCTGTAAGATGCTAACTTCTTCTGACCCTAGAGCGCCGTAAAACTCTTACAAAACCTACTGACTCTAAAGCAAGCAAAAAAAAAAAAAAAAAAAAAAATACCCCCTGCTCGAAAATAAAGCAAGGACAAGCAAACCAATCACCACCCCCAAACAAATAATGGCTCTTTCTCAGCTCAGATTTTTTCACCAGGTTATCTTCCCTGCATTACGTGTATCACTTTCGCGGAATGGCTGCTAAAATATATTACTAAAACAGCCCAAGAAATAAAACGTGTCTGTCTGTATATATTATTATAATACAATATACAATATGTAATATCTAACTATCTATCTATCTATACACAGGTGTGTGTGTGTG